CATATATGTATTATACTACTATTTCTAAATTTCATCAATAACAGAAATAAAGAAAACTATATTAATACAACAAAATTTCTCATTCTTATACACATAACATTCATCTTAATATTTGCGAAAAGCCAATAACATAAAATGTATCTATAACACCCTCAAGGCCCTTCAGCATCTTCATGCCCTCCTTTGGGCACTCTCTTAATAGTTTAACGTCTTACATTGTGGCGCCCAAAACTTCACACAATATACGAGGCGTCAATATTCTGTCCCAGCCTAGAGCAGAGCAGGACAATTCCCTCCCTGGCCTGGCCAGGGATGCTCAGTAATTGTGCTGAAATCGGCTCCAATTGGGAAAATGTAATTCTGGTGAGGGGCATCTCCAACAACTGATCCACAGGCCACCAACCCAAGAAACTCCTTGACCGAAAAGAAGAAACAAACTGAGCATGTCAACTAATTGACATGAAAAGCAAGCAAATCATTAACCTATAGAAGATAGAATACTAATTAATAAGAGAACTACATAACTGGTAACCTATGAATACTAATTCATTTGTTTTTATTAAAATTTATAAATAGTCAAAAGTTTTGAAAACAGATTAACATGTTTGGTGAGGCAATACCCATGTACCTCTGTGCTGAATGAAGTAAATGTCAGCTTTCTAACCTAACAAAATGAGTGAGAGAGCTCATTTCCCAGTTTTAGGTGAGGAGAGGGTCTAGTGGAGGCCACAAGGATGATGTGGGCCTGGAGCATTTTTCTTATAAGAAGAGTGCCATGGGAGGGGTGGGATAGAGTTCCAGATAAGCTCTGCTTTAGGTCAGATTTTGGCAACAGTTTAAATGTAAGGACTTACTCTGGCCTGCAAGTTCTAGTGATGGCAGATCATTAGTCATATCATTATAATATTTATAAAAATGAATTACTTCTTAAACAGACAAGTGATAGACAAAATATCTTAATCAAAATTACTACACAGTGTAAAACTAAAACCAACTAGAGGTAGATTACAGCATAACATTAAACAGTTCACGATATCAAGGTACCTCTATTATTAAAGGTAGCAAAAGAAAAGGAATCAAATGTAACTTCCCACTGAAGGGTCAATAACATCCACAGATTCCTTCACTCAGCCTCCAGGAGAGTAACTGCAAAGCAGTGTCCTTGCTCAGGGGCGAAACTCCACACATTTCCAGGGAAATGTGTAGAAGATTTTGCTTTGTAGAAGTTTGGTGTGGTTTTTATAGTTGTAAATTGAGGTGTCTATCAGTCAGAAATACAGCTTATCTTTCCAGATCTCACTTGGACAGTGAGACATTTATTGGCATTTGGGAGATGCCAGACCCATGTTAAACCCCATGGCCCCAAAATGAGCCACTACAAGACGGCTTGTCCTGTTTGAGTTGTCTGACCAGCTGACAACAAATAAGTTCTTGTGTGGGCTGAGATGCCCTGCTACAAAAAGACTGCCGGGGCTGGGCCTATTTAATCTGGAGAACAGACAACTGAGAGAGGGTCTCTTTAATGTAGATAAGTATCTTAAAGGGGGTGCCAAGAGGAGGAACCAGACTCTTTTCAGTGGTGCCCAGTGACAGGACGAGAAGTAATGGCCATAAACTAAAACACAAGAAGTTTTATTTCAACATGAAGAAGAACTTCCCACTGAGGATGGCAGAGCACTGTAACAGCTGCCTAGGGAGGTTGTGGAGTCTTCCCCTCCGGAGAAATTCCAAACCTACCTGGAATGTGGATTGCTGTGCCACCTACTCAGGATGACCTGCCTTGGCAGTGGGGTAGGACTAGAGGATCTCCAGAGATCCCTTCCAACCCTAACAATTCTGTGATTCTGTGATTTTTTTTTATTAAAGGTACTAAAAATCTGCCAAACCCCAAAGTGCTGGGCACAGAGCACAGTAGTGTGGGCAACACCCATCACCAGCAGCCCTTATATACACATGTGCCATTTGACAGTCAAATCAGCAAAGACATCATGCAGTTGTCTATAAATAAGAACAGCACTTGAGCACTTGTCCATGCTGGTTTCTGAACAAGCCTGTTCTCTGCTCATGCACAAAGCCCAACCTCATCCAAAGCTCTGCACTGAATTTGGCACCGTTTCTCTTGGTTGCCTTTGCCAATTACCACTAAGATTTAACCTCACACAAAAATGATGCTCTTATTTTGTGAGAACTGTACCTCAGCACTGTTATTAAGATCCAGGCTATGGGAAGGCAAGCCAAATCTGTGGAGGCAGGTCAGCCTGCCAAGGCTTTCCCTTGGACAAATGTGCCCTGAGGGTGCTGTGTTAAGCTTATCTCAACCCTCTCCTGGAGAGATACCCCTTAGATGGGACCATCCTCACTTGTCATGGTGAGCTATCCCACCATGCTTGGTGACTATGCTGATCCTTTGTAACCCATTGGTTTTCCCTCCTGTACAACCCTGGCCTTCCCCCATAAAAACCCCAGCTTCTGCCCAGTTCAGCAGGGAGGTGTCAGCCCTGGCTACCCTTTGCAGAGCTGCTGGACAATAAAGGCTGTCTCTGTGGAATCACCACACGACGCTCCTGTCTCTCCATCTCCGAGTCAGCCCAGGATAACCTTGAAAGCAGAGCTGGAATCACTGAGCTGAAATCACTGAGCTGAAATTACTTGCAGCCACAGGCTGCCCCTTGCTGAGGTTACCCAGCAGCCAGGGATTGCCAGAGACCTCCGAAGGCTGTCTCTTGCAGAACTACTCTCTCTGGGAAAGTTGTGGCTCCCCAGGTCAGATGAATAGACCTGGCCTGGCCCACCACACCAATCCAACAGAACCTGCTGCTAGCTGTAGGCTGTATGCTGCATTATGTACTTTTGTAACCTATAAGAATAGGTTCCAATAGAGGTTCATCTTATCTGTGCCTGAGCATTTCACCATGTAGGGCACTGGCTCCAAAGCAGAGAGATGCTCTACAGAAAACACCTTTAGTGACCTAGCACCATGGCTAAGACCTAATGGTGTCCCACCTTCTCCTTCTCTCAACCTCCCTTTCTTCCCCTTGTAGTGGTAAGGGAACACAGCAGCTGCTGGACAAGGCTAGCTCTCTCCGAGCCCAGTGGATGTGGTTTCTGCATAGCTTTTGATGGACCTTGGCTTTCCTACACTTCAGCAGCCTGACCAGTTTGCTTCTGGTCATTTTCCCATGGTTGTCTGTGCCTGTCTGACCACAGCAGTCTCTGTGCTTATTTTCACATTCACTGTCCCAACAGTTCAGGTGAAAAACCAGTTTCCCCACCCTCCAGTCCTGACCACTCCAGCCAGACCTTTAGCCTTATTTTTCAGCTTCTTTCTGCTCGGCTTCTTCCACCACCTCTACATTATCAAAGGCAGGTGGCAGCTGCAACTTTGTCTAATACACACAGAATATCTCTGCTTACTTTTAGTATTATTTCCCCCTGTTCATTCACTATGTGATGCAGTTAGTAGGCAACACCTTAACGTTCATATTCTCTTAGGACTTTTTCTTTTAACAGTGAAAATAATGTCACCAGTTTACCAAAAGAGAGAACCTGGGCTAGAAAGGAACATTTTCTTAAACAAGTGCAGCTGAAAATTTTAGAAGAAACCATCCCACCAAGACTGTGAGAATCACAAATAAACATTATTAATTGTCCTTAAGATGGCTATGTGATGCAAAATTAGATGGTGGGCTCAGTCTCTTCCAACACTCATGTCCAAATAAAAGCCAACACCCAGCAGGATTGACAAAGGGGACTGACTGGGCATGAACAGCAAGACAGCTTCCCTTGCTTTGGCATCTAACCATTACAATACATAAACTAACCTGCCCTTTGGGATCTCTTCAGGTAATGCACATCTCTCAAAAGAAAATGGATTTTATTTACAGGGAACTAAATAAAAGGTCTCTTTCCTGAAAAAGAAGCAATCTATCTTATAATCCTTTTATTCTTTGCATTCCTTTGGTCTACTTTTACTTCTAAACACTACTCCACAATAGTAAGGAAAAAAAAAATTCAGAAGAGGAAATGAAAAATTGCCAAGCAAAAACATTCCTTAAGCAAGCAATTGCACTGAGACAGCTGAGGGAAGAATGGCCAAGACACCAATTGGGGTCTCAGTAGATAGGCTTTTCTGCACAGCTCCCTTTCCACAAACATCTTCTGCTTGCCTGTGATTTGAACAGGATTACTCAGGTAGCAAGAAGACTTTAACACACACTTGGAAATATGTGTGTTTAGTCCAGGATATGCGTATTAATTGCTTTCATTACAGCCTCCAAAAGCAGATCTCAGATGGAGGAAAAGTCTGACTGTGGGTAAAACCATATCAGCCTGACCACCAAGAGCTTCACTAGGTAGTTTTACCTTTGTGTCTGATGCTCAGTAAGAGCCCTTGGGGCCGGCGAGAGGTTGGAGAAGTGGGATTACCCTCGCAGCCCCGCTGGGCAGGCAGAAGGAGGAGGGCGGGAGGAAGACAGAAAAAGGGCAGGCAGGAGGAAGGGAGCAGGAAGGGGGCAGCAAGGGAGAAGGAGGGCAGGCAGGAGAAAAGGCAGGAAGGCGACAGGAGAATGGCGGGCGGTGAGAAGGAAGAGAGGAGGAGGACAGGCAGAAGGAGGAGGGCAGGCAGGTAGATAGGTAGGTAGGTAGGTAGGTAGGTAGATAGATAGGTAGATAAGTACGTTAGCAAGCACGAAGCCTGGAAGAGGAGTGCAAGCAGGAGGAGAGTAAATAGGCAGATAAGCAGGAAGCCCAGGAGGAGGAGGAGGGCAACAGGAGTCCCGGGCCCGCCTCCCAGGGGCCCTCCTCCCGGACGTGCCGGGCCAGCTGCGGTTCCCCCGAGCCGCCGTCCCGCGCCCGGCCAGGCTCCGCCGCTGCCTTCTCGACCCCGCGCTGCGGGCGGGGCTAGCCCGAAGGCACCCCAGGAACGCGTGCTCGCCCCAGAAGCAGCAGAGACCCCTCGGCGCGGCTCCCCTGGCTGCCGCTGCCGTGCCCCGGCCGTGCCGGAGGCGCCCCGTGGGGACCGCTCCGGGTCACCATGTCGCGCGGGGGCAGCCGCTGGCCGGTTCGCCTCCTGATGATCACCTGCGTGATGGCCGGGCCGGCGCTGAGCCAGGAGTGCTCCGCGGAGAAGATGGAGAATTCCATCATCGATATAGACTTGTCCCTGCCCCGCGGCGTCCGGGGCGCGGAGCCGCTGCGCGTCCCCAGCGCGGGTGCGTGTGTCCGTGCCTGCTGCTCGGGGCACCGGCTCGCAGGTAACCTCGGCCTCCTTCTCCGCCACTGCCTGGGAGAATAATTCTGGAGTTTGGGCTCGCGGGGTGGTCAGCTGCTGGTGTTCTCCGTATTCAGCACGGAATTTACCCTCTCATTCAGGCCACGCTTAGTTCCACCTTGAACTAAGCACCTTAAGGCTGCTACCTCCTTTTGCCAGTAGACATTAGATCTTAACACAAGACCCCATAGGGTTCAGGAAAATAGCTGCATCACAGAAACAGCGTTAGTTTTAGGTATTAAAACCTCCCAAATCCCAAACCCCGAAGGTACGTAAGCTGTATTTACTAGATGCACTAAAAGTAGCTGACAATTTGCACTGTATTTAAATTTAGCCAAGAATGAGAATGCTCACACTCCTCTGAGACAGCAGGTTTGAATCAAGCTCTTGGAGGAGGTAGAGCAGCAAGTAGAAATGTCAGTGGTGAAGGTGACCCCCCAAAGCAGCAACTAGCCAAGCAATTCTTGAGATGTAATAAGGAAAAATGTCTAAATAATTTTCTTCCCTGTGAGTATATCAAGGAGGTTTTCAGATTTATCAGGATTTGTAAGTGAGAAATTGTTGTAATAAAGTGGTGCCAGTGTGGTATGGGTGAGGGGAGGATGAGAGATTAGACTCATAATTTCCCCAGCTTTATTTGTACAGGAAAAGGAAGGTGTGACCTTTCATATTTTGGCCCTGGGCCATTCTTCTGCAGTCCTTGGCTGTTTTTCCTGTAGGAATGTTATGTTAGTAGTTTTCCTCTTACTCATATGAGCAAAAGTTAACAAACTAGATCTCATTACCATACTGCTATAAAAGTTCTTATTGCTGAAACAGGCATTTACTTTGTTTTGCAGGAGACAAGAAGTGTAATTTGATTATTTTTTATGCTGCAAGAACAAGTACACATCCAAACTGCTACTTGTTTTACTGTCCTAGCATGGAGGCTTGTCCAATGAAACCTGCAACAGGTCTTGTGAGCTACAAGATAACTACAGGTAAATCATAGTGAGAGCCATCACTCCCTACACTAGATAACTTTTCCACCTATGAACTTTCAGTAGTGATCAGGAACTGTTTGGGGGTCATATTTTTAGCAAAGTGTTCTAAGCCAAGCATTATGGTTTGAAAATATTGCTCTTTTTTGTTGTGGAGGATGGATAGGCAGGTGTGTGGTGAGCTCCTTTGTGGGCCCAGCTTCCTGCTTGGAATAATGTCCCAACCCTTATAATATTCCTTCACATTAGATTCAGAAATCCTCATAGTTTGTCCTTGCTTAAAACAAAAAGAAGCTGCTTCCATATAGATATAGCCAAGAAGGAATATTTCCTGTACATAATGCTGAAAAGTATCACAAAAACTGATGGAAATACCATGCCCTTATAGCCAGCTATGTATTTAAAGGACCCATGCTACACTGATGAATAATTGTCAAAAATAATAAATAATCATTATTTCCTGCTTTCAGTTAGAGAATCTGAACTGCAGAAGCAAACTTTCTAAACTCAGAGCTTTATGGCTCAGGAATTTCTTGCTCTCTGGCCTATGCTGTGGTATTTTTAACAGCAAGGCCTACTTGTTGATTGACATTGACTTGCACTAGACCTGTTTGAACAGCTCAGATAAGAAACTGATAATTAGACTGTCCTGCCAAGGTGATTTCTGTATGGCTGCTTGAGAGACCAAACTTTTGCTGAAAAAGAGAATTTTTCCAAGAGGAACTATGCAAGGAGCAACAGTATGATATACAGAAAGATTACTCATGTAATGTTACCAAGTATTTCTGTGCAAGCTAAATCACACAGGAATTATACAAAAGCAATGTGCAACAAATGAACTGCATTTCTGTAAAATGATTACTATTATTATGCTTTCCTCCAGCTCTTTCTCCCCTAAAAGAACATTGGGATTTCAATTAAAAAAACAAGAAATGCAATCATGCTTGTGCTTTTGTTTGACATGCAATGCAATGCTGAGTGAACAACTTGATTGCATTTAACACTTTCATTTTGGAGATTTGATCTTCCCATTGAAGATCAAATTGAATTGTGGGAAGATTATGCTAGATTGTCTAATGTTCCTGGTAAGTTTTCAAAGGTAGCGCCTGATCAGTGTCAGTAGCAACAAATGTTTCAAGCTTCATTCTTTCATATGATAATCTCTATGTGGTTACACTGAAAACCAAGCTAAAGGGGGAAAGAGACTTCTTTAATTATTTATTTCAATTCCAGTGCAGTTAACAAACCTTTTTGTTTCAATATTAAAAAGAGATGAGTGAGAGTCAGAACTACTTGAGAGCATGTTCCCTTTTAAATGTTCTGTGCAGCAGCTAAATGGTTATCATGAATATATTATATATATTTCTATATTTTTATAAATATAATTATAAAATTATATATGTAATAGAGATTGACAATTATCGCATCTTTTCAAGAGCTCATGCTTAGCCAAATATTTTCTATAATACCTGTAAGTCAGGTAAATACTGTAGAAGAAATACTGTAAAATCAGGTAGTTTTTAGGATTATTATTTGTAATATACATATTATTTGTATGGTATTTCTGAACAGAACACTGTTATGTGACTAGGCTTGAAGCTGACAGCTTTTTATGACATAGAATTTAAATGCCACTGTGCATATTTTAAAGAAGGAAGTTTCATTAGTCACTATCTCATAGAGCCCCCTTACATAAATGTTCCTAAGAGACACAAATAATTTGTATACAGTATTGTAATAGAGTTTGCCTACATTAGTCAAAATGAGATTTAGTAATTAAATACCAGTATTTCTGTTTCCAGACATCCATGCCCCAGAGGATAAATCCATCAAAGCTGAGAACTTTTCTTCAAATGAGTATTCTTTGCCTTCAGATGCTGGAACCTTCATTCCTCATAGTCAGGATATCCATCGGAATCACTCTGCCAGTTTGCAGAAATCTGTCTTTCATCAGGCATCTGAGCTCTTGAACCACATAGGCAAGCATTTGGACAACATGGAACTTGATACAGTTTTTCCTGAATCTCAAACAGAAAAACAGTCTGAGAGCTTAGACCCCATCTCAAGGCAGAAAATAATTACTCTGCCACCAAACACACCTTCTTCTATTCCAGTTGGAAACCCCACTGCTTCATTCCCCACTGCTGCTCAGTCAGGCACTCCTGAAACCACTAGTGCTTCTCTTACTCCACTGCCAACAAGTACTGCCCAGCTGGAGCCTCACACAGCCTCTCTGCAACCTGGTGCTGCTAAACCAAACACAACCCACTCCACTACAGCTGCCTCTCTGCCTGCTGCAGCCACTGCAGCTAAACCTGGTGTCCCTGCCACCAGCATCACTGTTACTCATGTTCTTCTTTCCAAGCCCATAAATTCTGCTTCTACTTCTACAACCAAGCAGGTGACCATGAATTCCAGGTCTGCTACTGCCCCATCAGGGCTGAGGACTTCAGCCATGGCTCCTGAGCCAACAGTTGTCTCTTCCAGTGATAGCAGCCATGTGACCCTCCTCTCTTTTCCAGGTTTCATTCTGTCCAGTGATTCCCCTGCATCTTCCCAAAATGACCTTCAGGGTTATGGCCCATCTGACTCAGAAAGCTCCCTGTCAGAAGGTGCTCTGAGAGGGAAAGGTGTCTTTCAGCTGGGGGAAAGAAGCAGCCTTGTAGCAGCTTTGTTTTTTGGGGTGATATTCTTGTTGCTAGTTATTGTGCTCACAGGGAAGAAAGTACATGAATCTCTTCAGAAGAGGCATTATACCAGGCTGGATTACTTGATCAATGGAATGTATGCTGATGTCTGACTGGGAGAGGGAATAAAATTTTGAGGATCATCTCTCACTTTTGAGAGAACTCTGAAATGGAACAGTAGATACTGAAATCTTGGAAGAGGATGGATTCCTTTTTTGGGGTTCTAATAGGAAAGCAGGAGACAGGAAATGGGTTTGGTGGTGAAAAGGAATGCTCTGTCTGTGCTGAGCTATAATGTCTGTCATTTTTGATTTATTACTAAATCCTGAGAGTAAACACTTAATCCAAGTTAAGCTAAGAAGGTCTTAGATTTAAGGAGAAAAAGCATTTCATGAGCTTAATCTGTACTGTGACAAGATTAGTGAAGTTGAAGTACACCTAATAAATTGAGTACCTGTGCAGCACGTGGATGTTTTCAGTGCTATTTACACCAAATGCCAGACTGTTACAAGATTGCCTGGCAATCCTATTTACCCTATTTGTAGCTTTAAAGGAATACTTTGTAATAAAGCTTTGCATCCAAACGGTTTTAGGTACAAACAGGGAAAAAATCTATTACATATGACATAATTTAATTTTCCTTATCTAGTTTATGGCTATGTACCTATCTTTAAAGTTCTTCATACATCTGCATACATCACAATTATCCTTAAAACTACATGCTGCAACTGTGAGTGTTCTCAAAGCACACCCTGTTCTCTTCTAGTGTCCCCTTCATGTGACTGGTAATAAGCATAGCTGCTTAGTAACAGTTATCTTGATATTTGAGTTTTTTTCCAACCTAAACAACTCTATGATTTTATGTTTTCCTGACTCTTCAACAGGGAGAGTAAATGGGAGCATCTACTGCCACACAACTTCCAGTTCATGTTATTTAAATTTCCCTTCGCGTATAGCAAGTCTAAACCTGGTTTTAGAATGAAAGGCTAGATTTCAAAGTATTCATGTCAGGTGGCATAATCAACAACAAACATCACGGCAGAGAAGGAAGGGTGCCTCATGAATGCAAGGGAACAATTCTATTACAAAATATGAAATTTGACTCACATCCAAGAGATGCTTAGATCTGTCAAGCTTAGTGTGGTGGGAAGCAGGCGTGATGCAAAAAAATGGCCTCAAGGCAAGTTTTCTGAAAGCTCTAAATAACTAAATGCAGAAAATTCTCTGAAAATTCCATTATTCAAAGATCAAAGAAAAGTCAGTGTTCCTTGTGTCAAGAGCTTGAATTCTTACTATATGGAGGCTGCAAATTGCTTTATATATATAAACCCAGCTGGTCTGCTACATTGTTTAAATCTGACAATGGTTAAAAGAAAAGCAGTCTGGATAACCTCTTAAAAGTGAATAAAATTACAGAAGAAATGTACCTCAAATTTATCAGCTTGTTTGTTGACTGTGTTTTGTTTAACCTCATTTTCTTTTCTCTTTAATAGCTATTTTCAGGGATTTCTGGTCAAGGAACATAACAAGGAGGAACATTTTTGGGAAGTGAGTTCACAGAATGATAAGTACTAGGCCTAGCTGTAAAAATGCAGATGCAGATCTGAGGTTGACCATAATTTTCTCTCATAAGATCTGCAACCTTCATGAGAAGCTTTCTGTATTCTGGTGCCATCACAGCACCACACATCACAGCAGGAGAGGTGCTGAGAACAACCCCTGAATGCTCACTGTGCATTTCTGCTGCAATAAATATTTTGTTGGAGGGAAAGGTGGTTGGTATTAATTGATATGGTCACAGTACAGTAGCAAAATATTCAAGAGAAACCAGCAGATGTATCTCAGGGTTGTTCAGAGCATAGGTCATGTATTCGGCTGGAGAGGGTGGACATGTAGTGTCTCTTTTACAAGGACATGTAGTGATAGGACAAGGGGGAATAGCTTTAAACTAAAAGAGAGAAGGTTTAGATTAGATATTAAGAAGAAATTCTTCCCTGTGAGGGTGGTGAGGCCCTGGCACAGGTTGCCCAGGGAAGCTGTGGCTTCCCTATCTCTGGAAGTGTCCAAGGCCAGATTGACCAGGGCTTGGAGCAACCTGGGCTATTAGAATGTGTCTCTGCCCATGGCCAAGGGTTGGAATGAGCTGATCCTTGAAATCCCTTCCAACCCAAACCACTCTCTATTAAGTGTGGCCCATGTCGTTAGAAACAGCCCTCCAGCCCAATCAGCAGTGCATGCCTAGCAGAGTGAACGGCAGAGGTAAAGCTGAGAGGTGCACAAGCACCATGACTGATTTGATGAGGGTGCTGATCCCAGTGGCTTTTCACAACATTTGAGTAAAGCAAACAACTTTAAAAGTTGTTACATGAAAGATCTTCTTTTATTCTGGAGTAAAGAAATCTGAAGCACTTTTTAAAAATTATTTTTCCCATCCATTTGTCATGTTGGATTAAGAACTAACGGGAAATTAATTGGTAGCTGACCAGTTTGGATCTTTCTGGTGGGGTCTTTACAAGCTGTGTTTGAACACTAGAGGGCAACAGCAGTTTATTAAATAGAATTGACAAGTTCGAGGATTTTTGATGATTTTTTAAAAGTTTTAATTAGGGTTTTTTTTTTAACTTCCCAGACTATGGCTATTTTATTGCAAAAAGGTTTTATAGGAAAGTTTTTTGTTTATTGGAAGGGTCTGGGTGGAGGATTATATAGACATATTTTTAAAACTTTTTATTGTATCATATGATGTTGAAAACAACAAAACTGAGCATATTCTCTATTTTAATAGCATTGAATCAGGTTGCATTATTATTGGCATTTCCAGTTAATAGAGAAGGAGAGATTTCCCATCATCATTCTTTTGACTATGATGCTTTATTATATGCGTTTTTGGAGCTTATTTATTTGCCTGGATAATGCTTTTGTATTATGAATCAAAAAGGAGCAAGACAAAGTAACTAAAAAAATCCATCCAGTTTGTTATGCTTTCCAGCGTTGAAACTTCTGTGCACTCTTCTATTTTTCCACTGACATCTTCTGTGGTCTTCACTGTGCACCACATATGGAACTGAATCATTATTCACCACACTGTGATGACAAGCCTCACACTGGGGTGGCTCTTTCTGAAGGTAGCCAGTTCTGTTATGGTAGAAAGACAAAAGCTGATTGACTTCTGTCACCTGGAGAGTTTCATAAATTCTGTAGCTGCTTGTTTTCAAGTTGTTGCTTCATGGTGCTGAGCAAACATAAATAGTAAATTTGCACAGTGTAACTATAGACTGTCATGAACTAAACTGTCTTGTGGTATTATACAGTAAAGCAAATAGCCCAAATTTTATAACCACTGCAAACAATCTTAAAAAAATAAATTGTAGATCTATTTGGGGTGGGTGAGAAGGGTGCAAAGTCCCTTCCTCAAAGGACGGCAAACTCAGCATCGTGTGTTCTCTGCAAATAGTGCTTCAGTTCATTTTAACTCCTGTAGGAGCAGGAAATGCTTACACTCAGAATTATTTCAAGTAAATTACTAACCAACTAACAAAAAACAACAAACAAGGAAATAAAATCACCAAAAAAAAAAAATTACATGAGAAGGCAGTTTCAAAATTGGAAATTGTTTTCCTGCCTCCTGCAAAACCATCTTAGTGGGTTTGAATCTGATGACACACTTTGATCCTACTATCCCACATTCCATGCTGATAAAAACATGGAGTTTAAAGTGCCAGTGCCGCAGTCAGCAGTTCCCACACAGTATCCCATCACACAGAGAGCTATACTTTTGCAGACTTTTTTTCTGTCACCCTCCTGAAATGGACCTAGACAGCTGTGCTCTCCCTGTGCATTACTCACCCTCTCATGAAGCTCATGAGCCTACCAGGGATAGATCAATAGCCATGCTCTGGAAGGGTGTACTGTAGGCTCCAGAAATACGCCGCAGCATAGGGTAAGGAAAAGAGCCCATGGTGTTTTGCAGCACAGTGTTAATATCTCCTAAGTTCTGTTATTCCATTGGTTTGTTCAGTTAATGTAAGCAGTTCAGCCCCTGTTTGCTACACACATATGTTCCCCAGAATGTTCTCTTTTCCCTATTTTCCGGTTGTTTCCTACCCTTTGTCCCACCTATGTATCTCCCTTGTGCCCCCAGATCATTTGTCCCTGATGATCTCCTCTGCCCCATCTTACCCTGTACTTATGCCTGGACCCTCCCTTTTTCCGGGTCTTTTGTCCCTGGACCCCTTTGGTGTGTGGCTTCAATAAACCCCGTTGGATCTCCATACAGAAGACTCCCTCTGCTCATCGACAGCTATCTGTGGCTGGTGTGTGTGTGTGGACAGGGTGGCTGTTTGTGTGCCTGCCTGAACGCCTTCTTGTGGAGATGCTTTTGGGAAGGTAACAGCAATTTACCATCCACCCATGCTTCTACACTCTCATATAGGTAATATACTTTTCTACATTCCTATTCATTGATAGTTATGGGATAGCTGCATCCCCTCATCCTTGAAGTCTTGCACATCCTTACAGGAGTGTACATGCTGTTCCCAGATGCTTTCCCAGTGTCTTCATAGGTATGCCCCCTGAAGGGCTAGGATATATTGAACATTTTTCTTCCTCTTCAGAAAGCCTACACTCAATCTCACAATCTAAATTTGCTTTTTTTCCTTTAGGTCTCTATACTTCTTGAGGATGTCAAAGTGCAAAGCATAAAACTGCTGTTCTTTGTCACCTGTGTGTTTGGTATTATAATCAATGTATAAAAGTGCTTTCAAGTTTCAGTACAACTATGCTGGATCCTTGTTTCCTGTATATTGGCTCACTTAATTTAAAAAAAAAGGCCTGAGGGTCATGCATTAACTTCTCTTCTATTTTTCTCTTGCTCCTCTCCTTCCATCCTATAAAATGTTATTTTCTTACATGGCAAGAGTTTAGATATGCCATGTTCAAGTTGTTTTGATCCCTTTTCTTTTTGGTTCACTTTCTTTTAATAGAAAATTGATGAAGAAAATTGAAAATTCTGTCATACCAATAATATTCAGGAGTAGTAATCAGATAATTTATGCGCTCTGTATTTTCTCAAAGGAATTTAACAAGCAGTTAACATCCAGAACAACTGGCTAAGCCATAAGGAATGTTTTGAAACATTTGCTGATTTGAACAGTCACTCTGAAGACTGCAAAGGTGTTCCATCATAATGCTGTGATGGTAAGCATGGTTATATGAGGTAAAATAACTCTTCGTAAGATGCTTCGGTACCAGCTACCTCAGAGCAGCTGAATTCTGGCTGAAAGTTACCAGGAACATCACCAGGGTTTCTCTGTGCTTCCACTTGCACTGAAGAACGGATGTGGTCAGTGGAACTTAGACTTTGACACTGTGGCTTTTGCAACAATTCTCAACAACACCTAGATGGAAAATTTGCACAAAATTTAAATATACATTGTTGTGTTGTGAAGATGGTGGAAGCCCCCTCACTATGACACAGATCTCCTATAGACTTGCCTGCTGTTTAACTAGTTTCTGAGTAAATTTTTCTGTTTGCTTTTGTGAAAGAACTTTTTTCCCCTACACTGAAACCCAAGTTCCACTGGCACTATTGAAATACTTGTGTGTAAGTATTTGGATATTACAAGCAAGGTTTTTCTGATCCTCCAAGTAAGGATCCGGGTTAGTTTGGGTCCTCTGAGTAAACTGTGAATGAGATGATCCCTTTACTACAGTGGTCATGTGTTATGTGTGTTTGTCAGTAGGGCTCCAATTGGTGTCACTGGGAGGTCTTCCAGCACGTATTTGTAAGTCAAGTCCTCCCACTTAGAGGCTCATTAACTGTTCAAAACAATTGCCTTACAGGATGAGAGAACATCTCAGCTCAGAGGTAAAATTTTGAAAGAATCTGTAGAACATTTTCCCAGCTGCTTCTGATTATTTAACTATGATAATGTTGTCCTTCTTTGGTTCCAGGGCATGAAATAAGGAATTCAAATGTTTTTTCACCATGTGATAATTCAGGCAGTGCTTCTGGAAATACTCCAGATTCGGCACACACTGTATGTTGCCTTTGCTCTGGTTTAGAAGAATTTGATTGTGAGATAGAGTTTTAAACCCATGAGAACAGCTCACTCCATGTTTCTCTCTGCCAAACAAGATACACACGTGGCATTTCCTACACTGACAAAGCATAAAGCAAAGGTAGACCCCATTCAAGTGAACATTATAAAGAATGGTAGAGTTTGAAAAGTGAAAGTCAGAATGCTGAAGTCTATCCACATGCTACATCTAGCAGAGTAGCTACATATGGCAACATTTCCAGAAATATGTCAGACACTCCATCTCAAGGATGAGTTTAAGTGTAGTTAAGTGCTGGGATGCTTTTGCAGCTGCCAAAAATGGGTATGCCTGGTGATGGTAATGAAAATTATTTCAGGAGCATTGACAATAGCAAAAAC